TCCCACCAAAACCAAGATGGCGATGAGAGTGACCCCGGTCATCCTCACTGCTACACTCCCATCAGCGCCATGACAAATTATGGATACCATGGCAACGTCAAGAAGTTACCCTACATGGTCTAAAAAGGGGAGGCATGAATACTCCAACCCTTGTTCAGCGTATCATCAAAAAGTAACCGTAAAAATGGGCAACTCAGGTTGCTCTGACTACGGAGTAGCCATTCTTTATTCCTTTACTTTCTTAATAAACTTGCTTTCGCTTTATGGATTCTCCTTGAATTCCTTCTTGTGCGAGATCCAAGAACCCTCTTTTGGGGTCTGGATCAGGACCCCTTCGGGTAACACTTTGACAAGGGTGGTTTCAGTGGCAGAAGGTATGAGAGGCCAGGCTGATTGGAGAAGGCTCGGGAGAAAGAGAGAACAGAAGTGCTGACAGCGAGTGTAGACAACTCGCTCTCAAGGAGTTTGGCCATAAAAAGAGGCAAGGAGGCCGGGTGTGGTGGCTCACACCTGTAATTGCAGCACTTTGGGAGGCCAAGGTGGGTGGATCACCTGAGGTCAGGAGTTCAAGACCAGCCTGACCAACATGGTAAAACCCCGCCTCTACTAAAAAATACAAAAATCAGCCGGGCGTGGTGTTGGGCTCCTGTAACCCCAGCTACTTGGGAGGCTGAGGCAGGAGAATCACTTGAACCGGGAGATGGAGGTTGCAGTGACCCAAGATCGCGCCACTGTACTCCAGCCTGGACAACAGAGCAAGACTCCATCTCAAAAAAAAGAAAAAAAAAAAGAAAAAGAAAAGAAAAAGAGGCAAGGATATGGTTGGTCACTGGAGGGAGACGTGGAAGTTTACTTTATCCCCATAAGATGGGACCGGTCCAGCAGAGCCAGAAGATGTGACCGAAGAGAAAGGGTCTACTGCTGAAGCCACATCCTTGGGTGGGGACGCAGAGTCCATGTTTATCCTGCCTCTATTGCCTACTCTGTAAAATAGGCATAAGAACAGTATCCAGGCCGGGTGCGGTGGCTCACACCTGTAATCTCAGCGCTTTGGGAGGCCGAGGCCGGCAGATCACCTGAGGTCGGGAGTTTGAGACCAGCCTGGCTGACATAGCGAAACCCGTCTCTACTAAAAATACAAAAACTAGCTGGGCATGGTCGTGGGCACCTGTAATCCCAGCTACTTGGGAGGCTGAGACAGGAGAATCGCTTGAACCCAGGAGATAGAGGTTGCAGTGAGCCGAGACCATGCCATTGTACTCCAGCCTGGGCAAGAAAAGCGAAACTCCATCTAAAAAAAAAAAAAAAAAAAAAAAGAACAGTATCCATCACCCAGGCATGGTCCAGGCACCCAGCAAAGTCCAGGCTGATGACATGTCTCTCTCCCCTGGGGTGTGTCTATGAAGGGGTCACCCCCCCGCTCCAGTTTGTGGCAGAATGCAGTTTCCCTCCTGACACCCACCCCTAAGGGAGGTAGACAGTCTCCAGGAAAAACTCAGTGAGTTCCCCCTTTGAGAAAGGGCCCCACAAGTCAAAGTGCTTTTTCAAAAATAAATAGCCTGATTAGCATAAGGTATGCAAATGTATGCTAATGTGACAACTATTAAAATATTTCAAATGTCATCGAGGGAAAACACACCGAGTCTGGCTGGAGGGGTGGGGGACGGGAGGAGAGGATGTAGCCAAGATTCTTGAGAAAGGTCGAGGGGTTCAACCCCATAATCACCAGGGTATACGCTCATACAGACACACACAAACTCACACCTGGGTCCTTCCAGGGTGGCCTTACATCCTCTCCTGGGCAGAATCCCCAGACCTCTGTCTCCAGGTGTGAGTATTAAGCTTCTGGAAACCCCCCTCCAAATCTTTCCCCCAACACACTTTTCAGTGCCTGAAAAACTGTCCAGGGTGACAATCCATCTCATTCCACCAAGAGTACACATACTTGCTCTGCAAATAATCTCTGGGAAAAGCAATAACAGCATGGGTGACAGACCCCAGAGCCTTTCCTGAAAATAGGTTTAAAAGGTAGTCTCATCCACTACAAAAAAAACAAACAAAAAAAAACTCCTAAGAACTGGTAAGAAATGGCTCCTATCCCTAATAAATCCTTCTTCACTTCAGGGGAAACTTTTCATCCATATCCACTTTGTTTTCTGAGGCTGACAGACAAAAATCAGACCCAGAATGGGGAGAGACTTTTCCCAGGGTCACACAGCTGTGTGTGTGACCAAAACTATCACCAAACTAATCACCAAAACTATTTGGTGTATTGCTGTTGTTGTTTAGAGACAGAGTCTTGCTCCATTGCCCAAGCTGCAGTGCAATGATGCTATCACAACTCACTGCAGCCTGAAACTCCTGGGATCATGCAACCTTCTTTGCAGGGATCTGTCCTGCAGACCCCAGCTTGCACGATGGATGAATAACGTACCCAGACACCGATATTCAGTGAAAGAGCAGCTACAGGTCCGAGCCACTCACAGACACCACGGAAGGTGTTATAAAGAGTCTGCAGCCACAGCCTCGACTAGCTGGCCCTGTGGGCATTTATTTAGTACATTTTTGTTTGTTTGTTTTGTTTTGTTTTGTTTGAGACAGAGTCTTGCTCTGTCGTCCGGGCTGGAGTGCAGTGGCGTGATTTCAGCTCACCGCAAGCTCCGCCTCCCGGGTTCACGCCATTCTCCTGCCTCAGCCTCCCAAGTAGCTGGGACTACAGGTGCCCACCACCGTGCCCAGCTAATTTTTTTTTTTGTATTTTTAGTAGAGACAGAGTTTCACCATGTTAGCCAGGATGGTCTCGATCTCCTGACCTCGTGATCCGCCTGCCTCGGCCTCCCAAAGTGCTGGGATTACGGGCTTGAGCCACCACACTAGCCTATTTAGCACAGTTTTAATGACCAAGGCTTTGAGTCAACACACCTTAGGTAATTAATCTGGTTGCTCCCACCCTGGGAGAGCCATCTTGCCCATGAGTGATCAGTTAGTTTTAGGACCACATGAGTAAACAAGCTCGTTAGATAAACTCCTCTACATTCCTATGTGTCTATGCCCTGAGCTTTTAAGAGAACTCAGCTGCCTTCAGCCAAGACTTTTACTAAAGCTATGCAAATCTCCCAGCCTTCCAAGAAGGTTTGTGTTTATTTTCTCTAAAATCTTTCCCACCACCCTGACTGAACCCCCACACCTCTTGCCTCAGCCTCACGAGTAGCTGAGCCTTACAGACGTGTGCCACCACGCCCAGGCTAATTATTTTTATTTTTGTAAAGATGGGGTCTTGCTATGCTGCACAGGCTGGTTTCCAACTCTTGGCCTCAAGTGATCCTCCCACCTTAGCCTCCCAAAGCACTGGGATTACAGACATGAGACACCATGCCTGGCCACCAAAACTCTTTGGTGAGACCAGAATTATTGGAATCATTTTCAGATGAGAAAACTGAGGATCAGAGACATGAAATGATTTGCCCCAGCTCACACAGCACCTGTGAGGCAGGTCAGGTCAGCTGCTCAAACTTCAGCTGCCCAAATTTCAGTCCATATTACATCACTTTTTGACTACTTCTACTATTATTTCCTGAATATTTTTCTTCTAATGGACCCACTTCTTAAAATCTTAAATCTATTTAGAAGGAAATTGTTTATCATGACTGTAAATGAAAAGCCATCACTGACCATAAGTAGAAACTAACTTAATGAGAATAAAATCACATTATTAATTTCTGACTAAAGATAGTTGTCTCTGAGCTCTGAGCTGGAGCCTGATCTCTCTCTTTGTCCAAAAAGGATATTTCACGTATCAGAGAAGGTGTTAAAGACTGATTCACAGCCAATTAAGACTTTCTTCTCGCAAAAGACATGCAAAGGAAGGGCTCTCTCCCTGTAAGAGTCCATGGTGTTAAGACTGTTTTATGTGTCACCTAAAACCATCTCATGGCCACTAGGCTGGGTTCTATCTACCTGAAGGGCAGGAAGACTGTCCCAATACCTTAGAGTTCTAGAATTATGGCCAGGAATCTATTTGGGGGTTCCTACTATCAGTGCCCACAGACATTTCAGTGCAGCCCAAAGATGGAGAAGAGATGACTTCACTTATAAACAGACCCATCTGTTCATCCAGCTATCCACTCATCCACCTACCATCCATCCATTGACCCACCAATCCACCCACACATCCATCTATCCATTCACCCACACATCCATCCATCCACTCATCCATCCATCCATCCATCCATCCTTCACCCATAACCCATCCAACCATTCATCCACCCACCGTCCGCCCAAACATCCATCCAACCATCCATCCATCTATCCACCCATCCATTACCCAATCATCCATCCATGCATCTACTATCCACCTACCACCCATCCATCTACCCATCCATTCACCCAACCATCCATCCATCCACCCATCCACCTTCCCACCCAGCCATCCACTCACCTATTCAGTAAATATCTATCTAGCAACTACTCTATACCAGGCCTTGTTCTAGAATATGGACACATAGTGGTGACCAAGACATACCTGGTCACCAACCCCTTGAGGTTTCTGAACCAGTGAGGACACTCTCCATCCCTTGAGCAACAACATGAGGTGGATTAGAGAATTTTTCTCCACTTTTTTAGTGATAAGGGTCGTCTTGGTAGATATTTGTGGGTGTTCCCTGACCTTCATTCTTCCCTCCACCTGTAGGATGCAGAATCAACCTAGTTTCACCGCTGCCTGGCTGCCCTCCAAATCCATTTCCTCCTTCTTCAGGGCACACAACAAGGTATTTCCCAGCATTCCTTGCAGTTGGGGCAGCCATGTGACTTAACTGAACCAATGGAAGGTGGGCAGAAGTGGTGTGCCCATGACTTCCGTTTTGGCCCAGGCTTTTTCTGCAACCTACACTTTAAAGATGTGAGGAGGTACAAGACACCGGGGCCTGATCCTTGAGTTACTAGGTGGAAACAAAGGAACACCTGTTTGCTCTTTATATGAGCAACAAACTTCTGTTGGGTCATTGAGCCTTGCCAGTTTATAAAGGCACGGAGTGTTACCTTAACCAATGCACACCTTTCCTCTTTTCCAACCCTGTGAGTGAATTGGTTCCACCTCCGGCTCTAGCCAATCACTGAAGCCTGTTCTGCTGGTCTCCTGATTGGCTCAGCCTGGTCATGTGACCAAAGGATGCAGATGGCAACATTGGATGGATTTCCAGGCATCATTGCTTGGAGGACCACTGGGGTTGCTGGGACCAGGGCACAGAACTAGAGAACTGTGCTTCTGACATTCGCCACTGGGAAAGAAAAAAAAATTAATTATTTATTGTTACTATTATTTTAATACCCTGCAATCGAAACTGGCCTATTTCCTGGATGATCCAAATTTAGGAACTTGTTCCTGCAGCTTTAATCATCCTGAAGATGCCCTGACTTCTGTCTCCACCCAGACTTGGTCCCAGATCTCTCTTCAGTTCCTCCTGGATGCCTCCTCTTGGAGGTCCACCAGGTACATCCTACCCAACTCCCAATGCATCCCTTTTATCCCTCCTCCGGCACCTCCTCCTGTAACCCCCTCCCTGATGGCCCCACTCTTTTTCTGGAAAGTTGTGAACAAGCCTCCCCATCTCCCTTTCTTATCAACACCCCGCCCTGCCAATTTCACACTCACTAAGTCCTGTTGATTTCAACATCACTGTCTCCATGGCAGCCCCACTCTGTACCCCCACCTGTGTTTTTCAATAGACACCATCAGCTCCTACAATAGCCTTCTTGATGAGCTCCTAGCAGCCAGGAGAATCGATCTTAAGTGTAAGTCTGACCCTTCCCCTCTCCCCTCCATAACTCTCCATGGCTCCCCAGTGCCCTCAACAGAAAGTCTAAACTTTATTTTCAAAATTCCTCATAGTCTAGCTACTTCATTCTTCCTTGCTCCACCCCTGCTTCTCCTTGTTCACTTAGCGCCTGCTCATCTTTAAATGTCATCCCTCAGGGAAGCTTCACCTGACCCCGCTCTACAATGCTGAGAAAGAAGTCTTCCTGAGCTACCCCAGCTGCCTGAGCTTCCCTCATCACAAGCTGACACTCTACGCTGTAACTGCCTGGTTATGTGTCTTTGAATTCCTAGAGGGCAAGGGCTGGGTCTATTTCACCACTGTCTCCAGCCCCCAGCACAGCACCCAGTGTGAGCTTAATAAGTATTTTTCAATGAATGAATGAATGGTGATAGGAAATAGAGGCTTTGTGAATGCTACTATGTGTAGCAGACACTGTGGGTGTCCCTACTGCACCCACATTTCAGCACCTGCCAACAGCATCCTTCTGCAGTCACTTGGATGAGGGCCAGGTTGGAAGTCACAGAGAATTGATATCTCAGGAAGCAGCCCTTCACCAGTGATGGACAGGTGCTGGTGGATAAATACCCCAGCTCCCTCACTGTCTTGGGAAGAACAAGTGCATGATGCTGTATGCCATCTTCCAAGGGTATCCAGTGGGACTGAGCCCAATTGCTCAGGGCAGTCACCTGCTCATAAATGTTGGTTCTTTACTTCCTTGTCTCACTTCCCCACTCTCCTGGGGCTTCCTGGATCACTTCCCACGTAAACAACTTACCCCCAAATCCTTGTTTCAGGAGCTGCTTCTGGGGTATCCAACTTAAGATACTCTAGTGAAAATGAGTCTATAATTTACTGGCTGCTGCTTCCAGGGAGAACTTTGATGTGTTTGGGAAAAAAAGAAAAACAATTGCCTCTTGCTCCCTGTCAGCTGTAGTCCTCATAGCCTCCATGCAGACTGCCACATTTGCAGTTATGTATTAATTGCTTTTATTTTTTTTTCCCCCAAGAACGGGATGCTCTCCTGCAATATGTGTGTGTGAGAGAGAGAGTGTGTGTGTTTAATGACGTTCTCATTTGAGATCTGGCCGGATAGCTTTTTGAAGAAAGTCTACCCAGAGCCTGGAACATATAGAAAATTCTCCCGGCTAATAGCACTCCCACCCGCCCATCCATCACAGACGCACCGTGGAATGAAAAACAAGCACATTGATTGGATCTATTTCTAATCGACAGCCTGAGATACTGTTTGAGGTCTGCCATTAGACGGAAGAAGTTGGTGTGGAAGCGGCTGTGTCTGTATTTCTCAAGGGCACGGGGTCTGGCGCAGGGGTTGAGGGGGAGAGAAATAATCATGGCAGCATTTAGCAAGCATTTATTGAGTACCTACTGTGTGCCGGATCCTGTGCTGGGTGCTGGGGACACCATGGTGATTGAGACAGACCCAACTCCACCCTCCCAGTGGGGAAGACATACAGGTCTCTAGTGGCCCACAATCAGAGCCATGATGGGGGAGATTCAGGCAGCTCTGGGGACCCAGAGAAGGTGTCTGACCCAGCCTGGGAGATCAGGGAGGGCTTCCTGGAGGCAGGGACAGCTGAGCTGAAAGCTGAGAAGTCACCCAAAATAAGAAATAGGGAAAAAGTTGGGCACCGTGGCTGATGCCAGTAATCCCAACACTTTGGGAGTCTGGGGCAGGAGGATCCCTTGAGCTCAGGAGTTTGAGACCAGCCTGGGCAACACAGCGAGACCCTATCCCTATATTTAAAAAAAAAAAAAATTAGCTGAGTGTGATGGTGCACACTTGTGGTCCCAGCTACTTGGGAGGCTGAGGTGGGAGAATCACTTGAGGCCAGGAGGTCAAGCCTGCAGTAAGCTGTGATCGCACCACTGCACTCTGGCCTGGGTGACAGAGCAAGTCCCTGTCTCTAAAACAAACCAACAGGCCGGGTGCGGTGGCTCATGCCTGTCGTCCCAGCACTTTGGGAGGCCAAGGTGGGAGGATCACCTGAGTTCAGGAGTTCAAAACCAGCCTGGCCAACATGGTGAAATCCCATCTCTACTAAAAATACAAAAATTATCCAGGCGTGGTGGCGGGTGCCTGTGATCCCAGCTACTCAGGAGGCTGAGGCATGAGAAGTGCTTGAACCTGGGAGGCAGAGGTTGCAGTGAGCTGAGATTGCACCATTGCACTCCAGCCTGGGTAACAGAGTGAGACTCTATTTCTAAATAAAGAAATAAATCCAAACAAATGGGGAAGAGTATTTTCAGGGAGGAAGAAGAGCATGTGCGAAGGCCTGGGAGCAAGTGAAGGTAGCTTAGTGTGGCTGGAGTATGGAGTGGGTGGGGAAGAGGAGGCGTAGGGGAGATGCGGAGGGAGAAGTTGGCAGTGCTTTGAGGCCCATAGGACAGGGTTTCCACTTTTCTGGGGGCAATATGGAGCCACGGAAGGATTTAGAGCAGGAGAGTGAAAGGCCTTTGCTAAAAACAATCATTTTGGCATAGAAGGATCATATGACTCAATAATTCCAAGCAGGGACTCAAGCAGATCCTTGTACACACATGTTCACAGAGCACGATTCACTACAACCAAAGGCGGAAACAGCCCAGTGTCCCTGGATGGATGACGGATGAACACAGTGTGGTCCGTCCGAACAGTGGAATATTACTCAGCCTTAAAAAGAAAAGAAATTGGCCGGGCGCGGTGGCTCAAGCCTGTAATCCCAGCACTTTGGGAGGCCGAGAAGGGCGGATCACGAGGTCAGGAGATCGAGACCATTCTGGCTAACATGGTGAAACCCTGTCTCTACTAAAAATACAAAAAACTAGCCGGGTGAGGTGGCGGGTGCCTGTAGTCCCAGCTACTCGGGAGGCTGAGGCAGGAGAATGGTGTAAACCTGGGAGGCGGAGCTCGCAGTGAGCTGAGATCCGGCCACTGCACTCCAGCCTGGGTGACAGAGCGAGACTCTGTCTCAAATAAATAAATAAATAAATAAATAAATAAATAAATAAATAAAAATATAAATAAAAAATTATCTGGACACAGTGGCGTGCACCTGTAGTCCTAGTTACTTGGGAGGTGGAGACTGGAGGATCGCTTGAGCCTGGGAGGTTGAGGCTGCGGTGAGCTATGATAGCGCCACTATGCTCCCAGCCTGGGTGACAGCGTGAGACACTGTTTCAAAAAAAGAAGAAAGAAAGAAATGGGCTGGGCACTGTGGCTCATGCCCATAATCCCATCACTTTGGGAGGCCGAGGTGGGTAGATAACCTGAGGTCAGGAGTTTGAGACAAGCCTGGTCAAAATGATGAAACCCTGTCTCTACTAGAAATACAAAAAAATTAGCTGGGCGTGGTGGCAGGTGACTGTAATCTCAGCTACTCGGGAGGCTGAGGCAGGAGAATCCCTTGAACCTGGGAGGTGGCCGTGTCAGTGAGCCAAGATCGTGCCACTGCACTCCAGCTTGGGTGACAGAGTGAGATTCTGTCTCAAAAAAGAAAAGAGGCAGGGCGTGGTGGCTCACGCCTGTAATCCCAGCACTTCGGGAGGCCGAGGCGGGCGGATCACGAGGTCAGGAGATCGAGACCATCCTGGCGAACACAGTGAAACCCCGTTTCTACTAAAAATACAAAAAAGTAGCCGGGCGTGGCGGCGTGCGCTGGTAGTCCCACTATTCGGGAAGCTGAGGCAGGAGAATGGTGCGAACCTGGGAGGCGGAGCTTGCAGTGAGCCGAGATTGTGCCACTGCACTCCAGCCTGGGTGACAGAGCGAGACTCTGTCTCAAAAAAAAAAAAAAAGAAAAGAAAAGAAAAGGAAAGGAGTTCTGACATATGCTACAAAGTGGATGAACCTTGAAAACATTATGCTCAATGAAAGAAGCCTACTGTCTACAGAAGGACAAACACCGTATGATTCCACTTATATGTTATCTCTAGAGGAGGCAAATTCCTGAAGACAGGATGTAGAATCAAGGTTGCCAAGGGCAATGGGGAGTTATTGCTTAATGGTTACAAGGTTTCTTTTTGGGCGAATGAAAAATTTTTGGAAATAGTGGTGATGGTCGCACAACATTGTGAATGTACTTAACGCCACTGAATTGTACACTTTAAAATGATTCAAATGTCCAGCCTGGGCAACATAGCAAGACCCTGTCTCTACAAAAACGATTTTAAAATTTGGGCCGGGCATGGTGGCTCACACCTATAACCTCATCACCTTGGAGGCTGAGGCAAGTGGATCAACTTGAGCCCAGGAGTTTGAGACTTGCCTAGCCAACATGGCGAAACCCCATTTCTGCTGAAAATACAAAACATTTGCTGGGCGTGGCAGTGAACGCCTGTAATCCCAGCTACTTGGGAGGCGGAGGCACGAGAATCTCTTGAACCCCAGAGGCAGAGGTTGCAGCAAACCTAGATCGTGCTGCTGCACTCCAGCCTATGCAACACAGCAAGACACTGTCTCAAAAAAAAAAAAAAAAAAAAAATAGCTGGGAGTGGTGACACACAGCTGTAATCCCAGCTACTCGGGAGGCTGAGGTGGGAGGATCACTTGAGCCCAGGAGTTCAAGGCTGCAGTAAGCTATGATTGTACCACTGCACTCCAGTCTGGGTGACAGAGCAAGACTCTGTCTCTGAGAAAAAATAAATATAAAAGTAGTTAAGATGGTGAATTTTATATTATGTATATTTTACCACAATTTTTTTTAAAAAAGAGAGAGAAATGAATAGGCCGGGCGTGGTGGCTCAGGCCTGTAATCCCAGCACTTTGGGAGACTGAGGTGGGTGGATCACTCAAGGTCAGGAGTTCGAGACCAGTCTGGCCAACATGGTGAAACCCTGTCTCTACTAAAAATACAAAAATTAGCCGGGTTTGGTGGTATGCGCCTGTAATCCCAGCTACTCAGGAGGCTGAGACAGGAGAATCGCTGGAACTTGGGAGGCAGAGATTGCAGTGACCTGAGATGACACCACTGCACTCCAGGCTGGGAGACAGAGCAAGACTCCACCTCAAGAAAAAAATAAAAAAGGATGCAATCACTTTGGCTGCTGTGGGAGATCCAGGATAAAGTAAGTCCAGGAGGTGTTGGGGTTTCAGATCAGGATAAAGGCAAAGGCAAGGGTGAGAGGTGGGAGGTTGGGGGCGTGGTTGGGGTGTGGTTTGGGCATGGCTTGGAGGCAGGGCTAACAGGACGCCAGGGAGAGATGAGAATGAAATGGAAAATGAAAGATAAAGCAGGCAGCTGAGTTCCTGCACCCATACCCCAATTCACCTGCAAGTTCTCGTGGCCTCACGTCTCCAAACCCGCCACCCTTTATGGCCCAGCCTGAGATGGCCCTAACAAGGGGTCCCAAATGGGGATTAATGCCACTTCCTCAGTACAAAGAAAGATTAAGGTGACACTGGGTAAAAACACTCCATCCCAGCCGGGCACGGTGGCTCACGCCTGTCATCTCAGCATGTTGGGAGGCCAAGTCGGGTGGATCCCCTGAGGTCTGGAGTTCAAGACCAGCCTGGGTAACATGGTGAAACCCCGTCTCTACTAAAAAATACAAAAAATAAGCTGGGCATGGTGGTGGCTACTCCAGAGGTTGAGGCAGGAGAATCGCTTGAAAACGGGAGGTGGAGGTTGCAGTGAGCCGAGATTGTGCCACTGCACTCCAGTCTGGGCAACAGAGTGAGACTCCATCTCAAAAAAATTAAAAAAAAAACAAAACAGCACTCCATCCCGGCAGCCGTTCCTCCACGTGCGTTCACTTACAAGGTGCAGATGTAATACCTGCTTTTAAATTCAATTAAGTCAGAATCAGTTCTGCTCCTAGAATACATTACCCAGTTGGAGACAGCAGGGGGAAGAAGGAAAAAAAAAAAAAAACCCCACACACACAAAACAACGCAGACCTATTTAGAGATTTCCCTCTAAATGGATTTTAATTCTCCCGATTTATCAGAGGCCAGAGGAGCTGCTGACAGGCTGCATTTGGTGTCTGCAAACGCAGTTTCAGCCACAGGGAGGGGAGAAGAGGGATCGAGTTTATGTGGTCATTTGCCTCCAGTGTTGGAGGTCTGGGTTCGCCCAGAGATTGGTTCGAATCCCAGCTTTGCCATTCACCGGCTGCATGACCTTCAGCCAAGCACTGCATCCTCTCAGAGCTTTGATACCTACTCGTCTGGAAAATGGGAACAATGACAGGGCTTATTTCAGAAGACCCTTGTGAACCATGGCCTGGATTATCCACGAGAATTCAAGTTAAATCCTCAGCACAAGGCTTGGCACACACAGAATGCTCAGTAACGCAGGATGATGGTGATGGTGATGAAGGTCATCGTTGTTGGTTTTGTGTGTGTGTGTTTGTTTGTTTTTTGAGACAGATTCTCACTTCGTCACCTAGGCTGGAGTGCAGAGGCACCATCTTGGCTCACTGCAACTTCCGCCTCCCAGGTTCAAGAGATTCTCGTGCCTCGGCCTCCCAAGTAGCTGGGATTACAGGGGTGCACCACCACACCCGGCTAATTTTTGTATTTTTAGTACAGATGGGGGTTTCACCACGTTGGCCAGGCTGGTCACGAACTCCTGACCTCAAGTGATCCACCTGCCTCAGCCTCCCAAAGTGCTGGGATTACAGGCATGAGCCACCACACCCAGACCACTGTTGGTATTTTTTTTCCAACCAGAGACACAGCCCTGTGCTAGACTACTGTAGGGAAAGAAAAAAGATGCATGAGGCTCAAGTCCGGCCTTTGGAGGTTGGGAGGCTTTGGGTAAGCAGGAAAGCAAGGAGTAGGATGGTCCAGTAGGTGGACAGGCCTAAGCAAAGGAGTGGAGGTGGGATTGAAACCGGAATTTGCTGGGGACAAGTGACTGAACATGTCCATCCTATATCCCGTTTCATCAGGGAGAGCTCCAACCAATCCATGACACCAGTGGACCAAAGGCAGATAATTGTTTAACCTGCTCTCTGTCCCGGGAAGCCCCCATTTGGCCTTGAACTTCCCAGGCAGGAAGAAAGCTCCCGTGCCGCTCCCCATAGTATCACCCACCTGATTGGAGCGGGGTCCAGGGGATCAGCGCCCTGCAGCCAGGTCGGATAGCCTCAGAGATCATCAGGGCACCTGGCCCAACATCCAGTCTCCCATTTCACAGGTGAGGACACAGGCTTGGGACAGCCATCCTGAGGCCACAGAGCTCAAAGCTGTCCCCTTGCAGGCCTGGGTCCTACTGGCACCAGGTTCAGACTCTACCATCTGACGTTGGGCGAGCACCCCACACTGGGCCTCAGTTGTACCATCTGTAGAGAGAGAAGGAAAAGCAAAGTTTCCTGAGCCAAAAGGCTCATCTGTAGGGTCAGGTCAGAGGGCGCTGGGACCCCAGAAGGGCGTTTGTCTTCAGAAGAACCTAGTGAGGCCAGGCGCAGAAGCTCACGCCTGTAGTCCCAGCACTTTGGGAGGCCGAGGCAGGCGGATCCCGAGGTCAGGTCAGGAGATCAAGATCATCTTGGCCATCATGGTGAAACCCCGACTCTACTAAAAATAAAAAAAGTAAAAAAATTAAAAATAAATTAGCTGGGCATGGTGACACACGCCTGTAGTCCCAGCTACTCGGGAGGCTGAGGCAGGAGAATTGCTTGAACCCAGGAGGCAGAGCTTGCGGTGAGCCAAGATCGCACCACTGCACTATGGCCTGGCAACAGAGTGGGACACTCTGTCTCAAAAAAAAAAAAAAAAAAAAAAAGGCCTAGGGAAGGGGATTTTCAGACCAGAATCAGAAAAGGTTTTAGGACAAAAAGGGTCCTGGCCTGTAATGTCCCCTGGGGAGCTCAGGGGGGCCATAGTTGGCTCTCCTAAAGGGTTGCTTCATCCACAGAAGGCCTCCCTTCACCCCAGGCCCATAGCCCTCATCTGTGCCTGCCCTGAAAGGGCAACTAGGGAGGGTAGGAGGTGTCAAGGACACTCTAGTCCCAGTATCAGGGTTGGGGGGCAGAGGTCTGACGCTAGGGTTGGGAAGGCTAAAGAGAGGCACCGTGGCTCATTCCTGTAATCCCAGTATTTTGGGAGGCCGAGGCAGGTGGATCACTTGAGGTCAGGAGTTTGAGACCAGCTTGGGCAACATGGTGAAACCCCATCTCTACTAAAAATACAAAAAATTAGCCAGCCGTGGTAGAGCTTGCCTGTCATCCCAGCTACTTGGGAGTCTGAGGCAGGAGAATCACTTGAACCTGGGAGGCGGAGATGGCAATGAGCCAAGATCGTGCCACTGCACTCCAGCCTGGGAATCAGAGCAAGACTCTGTCTCAAAACAAGAAAAAAGTACAGTTATCCTTGAGAGGGTCTAATTGTGAGGCAGCACCAAGGGAGCTTCTGAGGGGAATGTTCTCCGTCTTGAGGTGGTGGTAGCCAAATGGGTCTATGTCCATGTCACGATTCCTCAGGCTACACACAAGATTTGAGCACTTTATAAGTTATACATCATTAAAAGAGAGGGAGGACTCAGAGAGGGGCAGAGACAGAGAGAAAGAGAGATAGAAACAGAGAAAAGACAAAGATAAACAGAAATTGAGAGACATAGAGGAAACTGAGATATAGGAAGAGAGAGAGAGACAGAAGCAGAGAGACAGGAAGAGGCAGAGAGAAGAAAAGAAGAAGGAAAAGGAGTTTCCAAGCAGAAAGGTGGGGAGAAATGAGGAAATTGGGAAGAAGAACTGAGGATTGAAGAAAAGAAGGCCAAAAAGAGGAGGGGAAAGGAGGAGAAAATAGCAAATGACCCGGGAAAGGGCGGGAGAGAGCGGCTAGGGAGGCCAGGAAGCCAGGAGCTGTCACAGGCGAACATGTCCTTAATTGTAATTACATGGGAACATTTAGTTTGTAGATGCAGCAGAAATGAAAACACTGCGCTTTGTCCATTAATCTAATGGCTGTTAGTCAATCACTCTTCAAATGGAACCCCCCACTTCTCCACTCCGGGGCTGTGGTTGCATGGGGAGTGGCCTGCGGGGAGCAGATCAGAGGAGATGGTTTTAAACTAATGATGTCCTCAGGGATACCCAGAGGGACAGTTCTGGGAAGAACAGAATTTCCTCACCAAAAAACCCATGGCTGGTGAATTTCTGAGCCCTGCAAACAGCTACCAGCCCAGAAGTCAGCAGCTGGCGAGTGGGAGTTCTAATCTGCAAGGCTAGATTAGGGGAGATACAATGTATCCACGAGAGATCAAGGTTCTTTCACTCGCCCTAGGGGGTGGGGGAAGCCTTCCTAGAAGGGCTGACATCTAAACTGTGCTTAAATGTATACTTTGAGGCAGGCAAGCAAAAAAGGAAGGAAGAAAGGCCTTCCAAAGAGAGAGAACAGCTTGTGCAAAGGTTGAGAAGGAATTATGCTTATAACCATGAGCGTGACTGGGTGGGAAGTGGGGTGGGGATGGGGAGAGGGGTGTAGCTGGGGAAGTCAGCAGAGCCCAGACCACTCATAAGACATGCTGAGGAGATAGGACTTTGTCCTGAGGTCAACAGGGAGTCATGGAGGGTTCACAACAGGTGAACGCAGTCCAGGATGATCTTTTTAAAACATTGGGGGCCACTCCTATGATATTTCACTCACTCAAAAAGAGAGAGCTTCCTGGTCCTGGAGGCACACAAAGTAAGGTCATACTAACCACCCAGGGGGACCCTGGGGGAGATTTCAGTATCATGTGGGGCTGAGGCTGGGACCGCAGAATGGGGGTTCTCAGGCAGGAGGGCGAGATGCTGAGAGAGGTTTGATGTGTTACTAATCTCGCTTGGGGGGTACACTTGGCCCTCCGGCTTTGAGACAGTGAGGAGCAGGGGGTGTGGATGACTCAGGAGTACAGGCGCCAGAGTGGGAGGTTTGAGTCAGCGCCTAGTGTATACCTCTCCCAGCCACTCTCAGCTGGAGATGACTCACTCATTCATTTGGCCTTGAATGTAGAGACCTGGAGTAGGGAGTGGGGGAAGGAAAAGACCACCCAACTATCCCACTACTGTTCACCCCTCCTACCACTGTGGGTCCAGTCCTGTGCAGGAACCACCGATGCACCTCCCCCACAACCCAATACTCCTAGAATGAAATCTGTTGGCTCCAAATAGACCTTGGTCTTGTCCTCTCCTCACTCCTCCTGTGGTTCCAGCCTTGATCTGGCACCATCAATGCTTATCTGGATGAGCCAGGGTCACCTCCATCCTGGTCCCTGGCTCCCACCCCACAGTCTATCCTCCCCACAGCAAGCAGTCAGAGAGCTCCTATGAACCTCCTATGAGTCAGCATCCATCCCGCCTCTACCCACAGCCCTCCACGGCTTCCATCTCCCTTGGGGTCAAAGCCCAAGTCCTTACTAAGTGCTAAAAGGCCCTGCATGACCTGCCCCATCCCTTCCCCACCCTCTGCTCCCCTCCATCCTCTCTCCCCCTCCTCACTCTGCTCCAGCTACAAAGGCCTCCTCGCTGTTCCGCCAGACTTAGTGCTGCCTCGGGACCTTTGCACAGGCTGGTTCCCTCCACCTGGAACTCTTCTCCCAGTTCTTCCCACAGCTTCTTTTTATTCTCCCTAAACATCACCTCCTCAGGAAAGCCCTCCTTGATTGCTAGTCTAAAGTAACATCCAACTCGCTCTCCACCTCATCCCCTTGTTTTTATTTTCGTCATTTTTCTTTTATTTGGCAGGTATGGTCTTTTGAAATGACCTGCTGTATCTGCCCATCTACCTCTGTTTTCCCCCACCAGACCTCAGGCTGGAGTCTGGGCCTGACTGGGTGGTGCCGTATCCCCAGCACCCCGTCTGGGTAAGGGCTTGTTGCCTGATTGAATGAATCTTCACAGCAGTCCCGGGATGTGGAGGCTTTTATCTACCCCATTTCACACGGGGGAAACTGAGGCTCGAAGACATGGAGCCCTGCCCCCCACCACTTGTCGGTGCTCCGAGGATGTCCGTGGACCATGTGCGCTCCCTGGAATTCTGTGGGAGGAATGCTGCGGTCTCGGGCAGTTCCACAAAAGAAGGTGTGTTCTGAGTGGGGGTGGGTGCGTCTGTCCGTGCCTCCTGGGGACAATGTGTGTGTGTGTGCAGGGAGGCGGGGGGCGGGGGGGAAGGGTGTTAAAAGAACCCTTGGGAAGGGAGCCGCTAATTTCGCTGCGGGAAGGGGACCCTCTCATTCCCCTTCTGCTCTTCCCACCTCTCCGCCTCCCCCACCAAGACGCCCAGGCGAGGGGACCCTCGTGGGAGAGGTACAACACGGAGTAGGGGGCAGCGTGGAGTTGGGGGACAGGGAGTAGGGGCGACACTCTTCTAAAGACCCCCTCACAGCCCCGCAGATATTGCAAATTCCCCATTTCCTGCACTCCCCCCTCGCTTTCCCTCCCCTCTCCTCCCCTTCCCCCCTCCCACAGGATCCTCCAGGGCTGGCCCCTGCAACCCCCTCCCGGGTCCCGGGTCCCGGGAGCTCGCGCCCCGCTCCCGCCCACTGGACGCCTGCAGCCAATGGCCGCGCCGCCTGATGAGGTAATGCGCCCCCTCTGCGCCCCCATTGGCCAGCCTGGAGCCCATTCCCTTGTCCCCCGCAAGCAGTGGAGACCTTGCGAGGCGCGGGCGGGGTCCTCCCAGGGTGGCACCTGGGCATCTGCGTTCCCCCATCCCCCTCTCTGTGAAACTCTCACTTGCCCCTCCCCCTTTTCGGGCCCAGGAGGGTCCAGGGGCTGAACCTGGGGGACTCCTGCCCCCAGGGACGCGTGATTCCTCCCATAGGAGCAGGAAGGACAAAAGACACCCCCATGCCCCCAGTAGTCAAAGACCCCCGAGCTGCCCATCCCAGACACTCGCGCATGCATGGAGCGCCTACTGTATGCCAGTAGAGACTCACTGGGGATGCAGCGGTGGCGACATCAGCCCCTGGTCCCTGTCCCCACGGGGCTCCCAGGATAATAGGGAAGAGGGACAGGCCACCAGCCACGTCTTCCCTCTCCTAGTCGGTGCTGCGGATGGAGGGTGAGGAGGGTAGGCAGAGGCAGGAGGGGACAGCCCCTCTTAATGATCTTGTTCCCTTGTTTATTTACCGTGGCCTCCGGGAGCCTTTGGGGGCCATATCTCCTCGTCCACCGCTGTATTCATTCAACAAATATGTCCTTAATCCCCACTCCCCGCTCCACTGCCTCTTGTTTTGTATATTCCCCCTTCTGTCCCCATAACCACTGGAATTGGCTTTTTTTTTTTCTTTTTCTTTGACAGGGTCTTGCTCTGTCTCCCAGGCTAGGGCGCAGTTGTGTGATCTCAGCTCACTGCAGCC